CACCTTCCCTTAGGGGCGAGCAATTTCACTTACTCCCGAGCTTCAGGCATTCCCCGCACAGGCTGCCAAATTCCGCAGTTTGGCTGGACACAAATCACGAGCCACTGAAGCAGGAACAAACTTTATTTCTGAACTCCACCAGCACACTCCACACACACTCCCTGTTAATTCTCTCGAACGCCAAGCAGCTCGTCCAGGAACCAGCAACCAGAAATATCCCTCCTCCGGCACTTCCCCAACCAATGGGAACTCTCCGGGAATCCCTGCGAGAGCTCAACTGTTACTCAATGGGAACTCCGTGAGAACTCTCTGGCGTCACTTCTCAACCACTACTTCTGGCAAAAATGCCATGCGTCATCCCAACTCGGCTGTGACTCTCAACATTACAGGATCCCATCAATTCCATTAATTACTTTCCTTAATTTGGATTAAATCAGTTATAAGTTATGCAGAGAAAGGCCTGAATTATGCACTCTAATTCTTCTCCTTTGTGTGAGAGAGTGTGAGAACATGAAATCTATTTTTTAAGAGAACATGAAATCAGGATGATAAGTGATCCTGCTTCTTCTTACCCTATTATGGCTGCTACTACAAGCTGGGATGCCTTGGAAGCATTTGTTAAAATACTAAACTCTGAAAAGCAACAAATGAGTGCTGTGTTGATGAAAGTATAGTTTTCATACACGATCTGTGTGAGATCATCAGTTTGTTTATATCATATTGATATCAATACATGATTAAATATGGAAAGAAAAATATAATCATTCTACAGTGATTATTTACACTGTACAGAATCTGTGTAGATAGCACCATAGCCAGAAGATTGAGGTCAGCACTAATAGTGTTGAATCATATACTGCATGTACACCCTGCAATCACTGATGGTAAAAGAACACATCAGCCCTTTGGATCCCTTCTTCCAAAGTCTAAACCCCAAATCCCAGTTTAATCACTTCAATACAGCGGATAAACTTAAATTTGCTATTTTAGTTAGTAGTCATGTACCAGTTTGCATTTCTTGGTTTTCACAGCAGAACACTGGTTCTATAAGATGCTAGCACTAGCTCCCAGTGACTAAGGAGGCTGAGGCAAGAAGATTGCAAGTTCAAGGCCAGCCTCAACAACTTAGTGATGGCCTAAGAAACTTAAAAAAAATAATAAAAAGGGCTGGGAATGTGACTCAGTGATAATTGCCAGGACCAAAACCAAACCAAACCAAACCAAAACAAAACAACAACAACAACAAAAACAAATGTGAGCACTAAGAATAGTTTGGGGAAGGGTATATGGAAACTCTGTACTCTCTGTAATTTTTCAGTAAATCCAAAAAAAATAAAATTTCATTTCAAGAACCTAATATGCAGTATTTCCAGTTATTCTTTGCTATGTGGGTTTGCTATCTTTTGTGTGCATGGATTGTACTCTATGAATGATTTAGCTGGGGATGACATATTAACAAGTACACATCTTCCCCATCTCTTTCCAAACCTCACTTAAAAAACTTAAATCCAGGAGAAATGTAAGGGTTCTGTGTTTGGGATTCCGATCTCGGATGACTTCATGGCTGTGGCATGCTTGGTGGCTGGGAAAGCTTCTGTGCAAAATACAGAATGTCTAGCTGCTAGGAAAGCTTCTGTGCAAAGGCGCGGGATGCCTAGCTGCTGTGCAATGCCCTGCATGAGGAGGCTTTGTGCTAGAGTCTTATCAGCCTTGACCTTAATCTCAGGCTCTCAGTTCCTGGAAATGAAGAAACTCTCTTGTCAGACAACCACAATGTTTCACCAGCTCCACTGCACCTGAACCTGTCCCCATAACAGTCACTTTAAACAATGGACTTTCTTGAGAGCTACACAGGCTCCTAACATTGCACATTGCACATATAGTATATAACTGAGGAATAAGCAGCATAATGTTGCTAACTCTGTAACCTGCCTGATGTCACAATGAACAATAATGCACTACTGATGCCAGTGACCTAATGTAACCTGTTGATACAAATAAGCTGGCAGCTTGGACAAGGGGCCATTCTGTCTCTGTACCTTGCTTCTGTTTCCTTTTGATTTCTTTATAAAGAAAAGACAAACTTTCAGCCACTTTCAATTATATACTATCTTGTTTCTATACTTGGTCTCATAACTTGTTTTTGTTTCTAATAGAATGAGTCTAATTCACCAAGAGTGACAGAGCCTGCTTTGTTGAGCAGTGGTTGACCAAGGTTGCATGAGAGGGGTGTCCCTCCCAGGAGACTATCTGGAGACAGTGATGTGAGGTCATCACCACCAAGGGGAAGAGGGCAAGGCCATACCCCAGGGAAAGGGGAATCCAAGGGGCTTATGTGTCTAGATGTTTCTACTCTACAGCAAAGCAGGGAATCTTTGAAGGGCAGGAGTGGGTTGGGGTCTTGTAGCTGCAGGGTTTGTCTAATGTGTGGTTATCCTGTGTTGGATGCAGTTTTGGGGGTATGTAAAGCAGGCAGGCTCTAAAGGGATGATTATATGCCCATTTGAGCTGTATTTAAACTAATTGGAGATGACAAAAATTTGAGTTTGGGGCCAGGAAGCTGTAAGCTACAGGGACCAATAGACAGGGCACATGTTGAACCCACTGAAGTAGCAAAGAGGCCCTGCCATTCCCAGTGTGAGGACAAGTCTTTCATTCAGGCAACACTAAGGGGGTGGTGAGGATGGCCTTACTCCATTTGAAAACTCCAGTCTAAAACCTGCAGTCTCACCAGGCACACCCACAGAGCCCTCCAGTAAGGCCTCAAACAAGTTACTTCCCCTCACCCTGATAAACAGAGTGAAGCCCCTGGCAGGCTGTCCTCACCTGATGAGAGGGAAAGGCGAGAAGAAGAGGGTGGAGACCACCAGACCAGATGTTTCTAACCCCAGAGTAAATGATGTCACTCAGAAATCTGGTGGTAGCTGATAAGGATTGAAAGGAGGGTCAACCCCCCCCAAATTTAGTATAAATAATAGAGCTGATGAACAGGGATTCAGCCAGCCAAAACAAGGGTGCACTCGAGCTGGAGAGCCTGATGAGGATCTGACATCCCATCACTTGTCATCATTTCCTGAGCCTCTGAGTGATCCTCACTGCTCTCAAACTCTACCGGCCTCTTCCGGACCTTGGTGAGAGCCATAACTTCTCCCTACGACCCTGTTCTCAACCAGTCATCCACTCCACCGCCAGGAAAACCTGCCTTGTTTCCAGACCTGATCACCGTGGTGTGGTCTGAGTGAGTGTACATCTGCTGGACTCAAAGCCTAAGACTTAAGATCTTTGAACTTAGCATGCAGAGGGAATGTCTGTCATTAGCTTATCATGATTAAGTGTGTTTTGCAGTGCTCAGAATTAATCTAGAATTGTCTGCTGTGAATTGATTAATCTAGAGTTGTTTGCCGTGAATTGATTATGTCTATTGCAGTGCCTAGCATTACGAATTGTCATTTTCTTGATTAAGAACCTATAGAGTGAAACTGTATTGAGTAATTTGAATGAATAAAGCATTGAAATGGGTAGAAGCACATGAACATTCTTTATTCCTCCCCTCGACTGCATACATCACAATTTTGCCCCATCACGACAGGGGTCAACCATCATGTTATTTTCCTAAAACTGGACATTTACTCCAGTTTAAGAGCAGCTTGAATGTATGTGGCTTATTAAAAAATTAAAATGCAAGATCCCTTGTTCAAAAAATGAAGAAAAATATTATCTTAAATCTACCAAAATGGATATAGAAAAGGAGATACACACAATGGATTATTATTTAGCCAAAAGAAGAATGAAATCATATCATTTTTGAGAAATGGATGGAACTTGATATTATCATGTTAAATATAATAAGCCAGACTCAGAAAGATTGCATGTTTTCTCTCATGTGGGGAATCTAAAAAAAACAAAATAAAATAAAGACAATATAAAAGAAGGGGCTATTAGGGAAGTGGAAACCCAGGGGAGGTGCCAGGGGAGGGTAAGAGAGGGTGGATATGATGGTCAAAGTGTATTGTATGTCCATATGGAAATGTCACAACCAAACTCATTATTTTACACAATTGACATATGCTAATATAATTTTTTAAAACTACCAAAATATAAAGGTTTTTACTTTTTCCGCAGGTCTTACAATATGACATAATATCATTTATTTGCTATTTGCTTTCTTGGACACAGGAATTACCAGAGGCCATCCCAGACCCTTGCAGAGGTTCTTTGTTGATTCTCTACATTAACCAAGGGCACACACACCCCATTACATTAAAATAGAAATGAGCCTTTTGTCCTCTCCAGGAAATCTTGAACCCCTATCCTATAGATCTCTCTTTAAAGACAGCGTGTAAAGTCCAGTGGCACTGTCCCATCAGATGTTTAAAGACAAATTTCTATAAATTTCAACACAGCAGCTTCAGAGCATTAAGTCCTAGTGGGTGGGCAGGGGACTATGTGACTTGGTCATATACCCATGAAGTTGGGACTGCTCCAGGTTATTAAAAACATCTAAATGGTGAAGTCCTTTGGCTCAACCCTTTATCTTCTATGCACACAAGTGCCAGCCCAGCTCCCAAAGATGAACTGCTACAAACCACAGAAGCAGACATAAAAATATCATCACATGTGCCCTTTATAGGTCAGGGAAGGTTCACTATGAATTAATGCACCTTAAAAAAGTGTTTAAAAAAGTTAAGTAAAGGTGCGGCGATGAATATGAAAGTGATAGCAGTGGAACGGGACAGACTCTGGTGCTCCAATTCCTAGCCAGGCGTCCACTCCAAGACACTGGTCAGAACTTCAGACTCCCCCAGTGGAAGGCTGATGGGTGCCAGCGTTTTTATCTATGCTGTGCAGCCTTGATCCTGGCAAATGGAGCATACAATTGTGCTTTCTTTGTTGATTCACTTCATTGACCAAGGGCACACCCCATTACATAAAATATAAATGAGCCTTTTGTACTCTCCAGGAAACCTTGAACCTCTGTTCTGAGGAGTCTCCCTTCAAAGATGGCTCCATGCAGGAAGATGTTTTATTTTGTCATTGCTTTGTTCTTTGTTTTGGCTCAGTTTCCATCAGGTAAATTAAAATGGATAGAATTTTGATGAGGCAGATCATAAAGCTTGATTATTCCTCTATGTCCCACCCTAAAATCATCTAAGAGCCAGGTGCACCTGGCGCCAGTTTGGTTTTTGTTTTTTGTAACTTGGTCTGACTGGTTACAGGAATTCTTGTCCTAAGAAACAAAATGCAGATTGCATCTTTGTCACCTGTAGACACTGATGTGCAGCCTCCAGGGTGGGAACCTGGTTTTATGTGATGTTACTTCCTGTGTTGATATTTGTTTCTAATATGTATTTTGTTTTAAATTTAGGGTGCCGAGCAGGTCTTGATTATTACAAGTCACTTCCTGGAGGTAGGTGAAATCCTTTGTGTATAGTTTCTCCTTTTCTCTTGGGAACTCTGGCTCTGGAGCTCTCTCTGCCTTGAGAAACCAAGGAAGCCATGTAGGAGTGGAAGAGAAGGGCCTGAATTCCGGTCCTCCAATTCTATCATTTCTTCCTCTTGTTCCCAGCACCACATTTGGATTTTTCCATTTCACAGAACCATATTTCTGTTTCTGGACTGTATTACTTTGGCCATGAGGATTTGGACCCAGGGACTTTTCCCATATGCTCGTGGAGCATGGGTTCAATCCCACACCAGCCAATTAGCAGTGCCTGAGATCAAGCTGCTCATCTCTTAAGTCCAGATCTAACAAGGACTGTCACAAACACATGTTTCTGGTGAATGGAGGATGGAATAGATAGAGAGGACTGGTCAGTGAAAGCTGACCCTCACTCAGTAGAGCATTCAAAATGAGGAGCCCAGACCTCTCCCTGGGGAGTTGTCTTACACAGGAGGACAGCACATTGTGAGCAGAATTGAAGAGTATTCCTGGGAAACTGTGAGAAGAGTTTGGACGGCATTTCAGAGTGAGAGGTGTTGAGGGTGCTGCCCACTGAGTGCTGGCTGTCCGTGTGCCAGGCACTCTGTTGTGACAAGGATTGTGTTATTTAATCTCCACCCCAGAGGCAGGCATACCACCACCCAACATCCTCACATCACTCATTTCATTTAACCACTAAACAAATAAAAACTGCAGGCAGGTGTTTCTAGAATGCCTGCAGGACAGATGAGCCACTTATTGAGGATGTTCTGCCTTTATGAAGCCCCAACAAGAATCCAGCCTGAAACTCTGCACTCTGTTTTCAAAGACCCTTCCCAACCACAAGATACCCTCTCCATTTACACCTAGCAAACTCTCAGTGTTTCATGTGGGTGTTTTCTAGGTCTGTAACACTTTGCCTATTGCTTTCTTTTGATGAGAACAAGACTGGAAATTTTTGGACAGGAGGGATCGTGGTTCCTCTTCCTTATAATCCTCCCCACTACAAACTACAGAGAACACAAGCTCTTTGAAGAATCTGGGCGAGGTCTTGGAGATATGCCTTATGACCACACATCTGAACCCTCTCTCCTTTTGGTGGCTTTGACCTGTTCCCTGTTCCACAGATAGCCAGGAAAGCCTTCTCAGCCACTCTTTCTTGGCACAGGTGAATTTGCCGTTTGTGAGACCTGCAGGCTTGGTCGTGGCAAATGCAGGAAGATTTGCCTGGAGGGTGAGAAGATTTATGGAAACTGCAGATTGAACTTTTTCTGTTGCCGACCCAAGATCCTGAGATAGCAGACCAGGCTCTGGGCCTTGGAAACAGAACAGGATGGATGTTCAAGGAAGGTCAAGAGAACTATGAGGCCTAGTCAAGTCATATTGTGAGTGTTTCAAGATCATGCTCATTTCTTTCTCTCTTTGTTTTGGTTTCCTTGTCTAGGTTTAGTTTTCAGAAGATACTTTATAAAAAAAAAATCTAGACATGAGCCAGGCATAATGGTGCACGCCTGTAATCCCAGCAGCTCAGGAGGCTGAGGCAGGAGGATCACGCGTCCAAAGCCAGCCTCAGCAATGGCAAACCACTAAGCAACTCAGTGAGAACCCTCTCTAAATAAAATACAAATTAGGGCTGGGGATGTGGCTCAGTGATTGGGTGGCCCTGCATTTAATCCCCCACCCCACAGAAAAATCAAGACATGAATGAATAAGGAATAGCTACCTACTGAACCAGGCACTGGTATGTACCATGAATTATTTTTCTGTACTTTCTCACTGGAGTAAAGATTATGTTGAAGGATATTTTTCATTATGCTAATTTGTATTTAAAGAAATTGAGACCTAGGGGAGTTGTCATTTGCTCAGAGATATAGCAGGGAGTCAATAAATGATGTGGGCACAACAGTCAAGTCCTGCATGTCCAGCTACATGGACTAGTTTCCATAGAATTAATAGGTAAATGGAAGTAGATGCACATCTGTGAGTGAGTAATGAGTCTACATAATAAAATAAGTTACTTTTATCCAGTGCATTTTTTGGTATTATAATATGTGGTCTTCATTGATTCTAGTATTAAAGTGTATTTTTATAACAACTCCCATCTATTCAGTTAATGCCAGTGGCACAAATTTTGTTTTTTCGTTCTTACCTATGAAAGAAAGTGGTCAGAGATTGATTTGAAACATTCAGCACAGCATGTAAGGAAATGAGTGTGTAAAGTCTGTGTGATACAATTCGTAACTTCACTAAATAAAGGTCACAATTATCAACCATGGCACTGGAGAGATTGCTCAGTTTTAACATGCGAGTCTGAACCAGTTTCCTGGAGTGTTTTTTGGCCATTTGTCTTTTTCTGCTCAGGTCATTCCTTGTCGTCCCTGCTTTGCTCCGTGGCTTTGGCTCTGTCTTCTGTGAACTGCCCTCACCAGGCCTCCAGCTCTGGGGTTTCAGTGGACGTGGGCGTCAGTGGGGAGGTGGTCGTGGGGAGAGGCAGAACTCAGGGCAAGTCGCCCCCACTCTCTCTTGCCCTCGGGCTCCTCCATCTCCCAGGGAAACTGCTTCTGCCCCCCACCCCCCAGCCAGGACTTGCTCCTGGGCTCCCGTCTCCTCCTGGGTTCCTCCAGCCACAGGCAGTGGGGACTCCAGTCGTGGCTGTCCCCGGGTTGCCTCTGCACACTCACCTGTCCAGGCCTTGTCTTCAGCTGTGCGCGTCCCTCCTATGGAACTAACTGGGAGGGACTCTTCTCATGCCTGGGCATTGCCAGTTCATGGTCAGGTCTCTTACTTGGAGGAACTGGTCTTTAGAACACATCCGAAGTGCAGCTGTCCTGAGCCATCTGCACAGGAGTCACCTGCAGGACGGGACATGTGGAAGTGCCTTAAGACTCTGCAGCTCGGGAGCCACCAGGCTCACAATGCTCTCTGAGCCATCCCTGTACCCCCTGCACATGCCCCCCCTTGGGTCTCCACAGGAGGGACAGCTGATGGCCTACAGAGCACCGTGAGACTGGGGTACTTCCTACTCATTCCAAATACTGCTTTGCTTGATTTAAAACAAACAAACAAAGAAAATTAAAAATAGCCTGCAACCTTTCAGAAGCTTTTCTTTTCAATACAGAAAGACCTGTGTGTGTGTCAGAGTTATCCAGAGTGGGGGCTGGTGGCTGTCTCCTGACATTACTTTCCAGTTATCCTGTGCACACCTGGCGCTGGGAGGCCTACAGCCTCCCCTCTCTCTCTCTCTCTGACTCCATCCCTTTTTCAGCTCGAGGCTCCTCTTAGCTCTTTCCTAGGCTGCTCCCTCCTTCCCTGAGCGCCCAGTTCTTCCCAGAGAACAGTCTTGGCTCACAATAGTTAGTTGCTACTTGAAAATTCAGCTCTTTTTGGTGCCAAGAGGAAGGTGGTTGTTGGCTCAGATCAGCTTTGTTGCTTTGTTGGGACTTGGGGACCTCAGGAGTCTGTGATAGGGAAAGTCTTCTCAGGGGTGGACAGGTCAGCAGGAGATGGCCAGGGAGAAAAGATCTCCGTCATCTGCTTTTGCCTGAAGCACTTGCACCCTCAGCAGTCTCTGCCACTCTCCTAATGAGCATAATTTTGACCCTATTGATCTTTAAAATCACACTTGTGACCTTATTACACTATTGACACATTATTCCTTCTTGTTTCTTGGTTCTGCTTCAAAATTCCCTCACCTGAAGTGGAATGACAATGTTTTCAGAGCAAGGTTGATCAGTTTTGGCCGAAGTCTCAAATGATACAGAATAAAAAGTAAATATCGTGAATCCCCCCTGGCCCAGCTGAGGCACTGGACCACAAATGCAGGATTAGCAAAAAGGCTGATCCCATCCCAGATTCTGGATCACTCAGCCTGGCACTTACTTAAACCTGGAGGAAAGAAAACCCAGGAAACAAAACCTTGGAAATGTCCTGGCATGCTGAGATGCACCTCGGCTATGCCTCTCGAGGAGGAGACTGAGGTCAGCATCTCACACCAACCCTGTCCGATGGGCTTCAGGAAGACGCCTGGGAGAGTCTAATGTAGAACCCTGTGGGGCTCCTGTGGGCTCCCACATGCAAACATCCACAGGCAGAAAGCCCTGTCTGGAGTGGCCTGAGGGGAGGAAGGTGTGGCTGCAGTTAGGATCCGGGCAGCACAGCAAGCTGTATGATCCCTGTGGCCACGTGAACCCCATTCCAGTCACTGGTCTGAAACAGTCCCAGCCAGAGAAGAGCCAGAATGTGGCCTGTTGTGGCAAAAGAACCAGCAGAGAGAGGTTTTAGGATATAGCTCTGGGGAGAGAAGACTTGAGGGAAACTCATAAGAGGTCAAGTAAGCACACTAACCATTTAGGCAATCACACAATGCTAGGGGCTGCACAGGAGCCTTGAGATGACATGTAAATTTGTCCAAAGTAGGTCCACTTAAAATACTACTGTAGTCATTTTGCTGTTAAATGAAACACCATAAACAAAACAGTTTGAAACAGCACTTATTATCTCACACTTTTGTAGGTCAGAGTCTCCACTGGGCACTGGTTTCTATGCTCAAGATTTCACAAGACTAAAACCAAAGTGTTACCAAGTGTTGACTAGGGGTGTGATCTCACCAAGGGCAAGAGTTCTGTTCCAAACTCACACAGGCAAGAGCCACCTGACCAACTCTAGCAACTAGAGGCTTTGTAGAATCACCTGCTAGGCTTCTTTCCAAAAATGGCAGCTTTGCCCCTCAAGATCAGCAAGGAAATCTCCTATTTCAGAAATCTCCAATTTTCTCTTACAGCACCAATAAATGGAGTTAGAATACAATTTCAGTCTAGTATTAAAATTAAATTGGTATTAATACAATCTAAGTATCCATAGATTATGACATTAATCATAATCACCAAGGCAATAATTTATGTAATAACTAAAATATATACCAAACAATGATAAGGTAATTAGAGTATCAAGTTGCATATCTACTTAAAACAAAACAAAACAAACAAACAAAAAAATGAGGAGATAACCTGATCACCTTTAAAGAATAAATTGTAAAGTGGCAGACATAAATGCCACTTTATAAATGAAAATGGATTAATCACTCAATTAGAGATTGGCAAAAATGAACTTTAAGTAACATTCAACTGTATATTGTCTACAAAAAATAATAAAACACTTCGGATTAAAAAAACAAAGAGCTTAAAGTTAAAAGAATCAAAAAGTCTGTGTCATATATAGTGTAAGCAAAAGAGAGCTACAGGGCCACACTAATAGTAAGCAAGGGCACATTTAAGATAAAATGCTCTTAGAGACAAAGAGTGCATGTATAATGATAAGTGAGTCAATAGATAATCAAGATGATAGAGCAATTATAAATGCATATGCACCTAACACCAAGCTACAAAATACTTGAAGGGAAACCTGAGAGAAGCAAAGGGTGAAATTGGTGAATTAGCAGTAATAGTAGGGGAAGCTTGGAGTGGAGCAAAACCACTCACCTCCTGGTCAGGAAGCAAAATTGAGGAAAAGGGGAAGGGACTGGGGCCTAAATCCCCTTCAAAGGCATTACCCCAAGGACATAAGGGCACTGCACTGCCTCCCAGGTGTGCCCTTGGTGTGCCAAGCTTATATCACATGTACCTTCAGGGACACGTAACCCAACCTATCATGCATGTCTTTCACAGTGACCACCTTTCCCCACCAAGCGTGTCATCAAAGATGCCTTCTCAGCAAACCCACCTTGGTGCACCAATCATATTTTTGTGATTGTTTGGGGATTATGTGGACAAGAAATTAGAAGTCGTCATGAATTTCCTTTTTATATTTGTGGCTCCAGAAATTCCATATTAGTTTATAATTGCCGGGACAAATTATTTATTGGCAGTATGTGAGGCCATTTTAGCAGCATCTGGTGCAATAGGCCTGGGGTTAGCAAGTGCTCATGTCCTACCTTTCTTGGAGGTTCCTGTCTTTCCTTGCAGTTGATGATGTTTTGCTGCCTGTGACCATGGATTTCTAAAGAATCTGAGAAATCTAATATTTTAAGGAAACTTCATATTGTCTTACAATTTATTATATATCTCAAAAAAACTAGAAGAGAGGAGTTTGAAGATTACCCCCCCCAAAAGGAAATGCCAATTCCCTTGATGTGATTACTGCACACATGTATCAGATGGTCACATGCACCCCACATACATGTGCAACTGGTATGTGTCAATTAAAAATAACAATTAAAATGAAACTGTATGTTGTAGCTGGCTCTGCATCTTGATGTGCATTTGCTTGGGGTGGGAAGAACTTCTTTTCATGTCTTTCCTTTTTTACAATCATATGGGAGGTACTGACCATCACATGACATCATGTAATAGAAGCCACATTTACAGTTTTCCAACCACACAGCCTAGCTGTCAACAGGAAAGATGGCTCATAAATAATAATACTAGTGATTCAAGTATGGATCTTTATAGAAAAAAGCATCATTTTGACTGATTTGCAGGAATTTTAAAAACTGCTGTATTGAACCATAAATGAAGGAGGTATAGTTTATTCACATAGCACTGCATTTGAAGACAAGCCTACAAGTTTCCTGTGGAGTCCATTTTCTGTTTTTAGCATTACTGCAAATGCCACACTCCATCACCACGCTGGGCTCTTCACCACGTCCAGGGGACTCTCTGGGAGGTGGTGGCACCTGTCTTCCTTGGAAGCACACTGGCAAACCCCTTTGCACAACTCCCACATACTTCTTTTTGAAATTAACTTCTTGTTGGAAAACCAGAAAAAACAAACACACAAACAAACAGTAGGATTTTAAAAACCTAAATTCCAATCCTGGGTGTCATAAATACAGTTGTTTAGGTTGTGTAACCTCAGGCATGTTCTCAACTGAAAAAAAAATCGTATTTGCTTGGTTTTCTACTGCTCTTTTCTGTTTCATTCATCTTCACAGTAACCCTTCAACTGAAGGCAGCACTGTACTCATTTTATAGTAGAAATTCAATCTCAAGAGGTCACATGATCTACCCACGATGTCACCTGGGGCAATCTATTA